TATATCATTTCCACATCTTGCATGAGAATGCCTTTGTATATTTCTTTGAAACTCGGTTTTGTACAGAACAGCTTTTATTTTGGATTTGTTCATTAAAGTATATACATGCTTATAAAAAAAAAAATTTAAAAGACCAAGGATTAGAAGGTAAAAGTGAAAGCTGTTCTTTGCGCTCCAAAGACCTATTCCCAAAGATAATTATGGTATTGTTAACAGGGAGGCCTTTGTTTTTGCTTTTTATTTTTTTGAGCTCATACAAATACATACAAGTGCACACATATGTATTTGTTTTCATCAAGTGTTTAAAAAAATGGAGCACATTTTTCATCTTCATTCCTTTGGCTAGCTGCATAATACTCTGTAATTTATTTAATGTAACCTATTGATGGACATTCTGGTTGTTTTCTTTTGGGGGAAAGTTTGTAGTTTTTCACAGCTGTGCCAAGTATTTCTGTAGGACAATGGAATTGCTATAGTGTGGCTTTTTAAATGACCATGGGAAAGAATCAAATATGCAGGACTATTATTACCATAAATGTAGAAACCTGGGAATTTACCCTAAAACTTTGTGAAATCAAAAACCACAGTGACCCTCTGAATTTACACTTAGAAAATCATTACAAAGTTTACTTTTGCTTACGAGTCCTATGTTCCATTGCCCTGAGTCACGGCCTGTTGGAGTGAGGCTATTTGCGTCTGAAAGAGTGCTTTAACTGCTCTTCTCCTTAGTTTCCAGAGGCAGTGATATCACCAAACAGATCGTAATTGGCACTCCTGGGACTGTCCTAGATTGGTGTTTCAAGAGAAAGTTAATTGATTTGACTAAGATTCGTGTGTTTGTCCTGGATGAAGCGGATGTGATGATTGATACCCAAGGATTCTCAGATCAGAGCATTCGTATTCAGAGGTATTCTTCAGATTTACTCTTTCTTCCTGGGTCTTTTGTCCAGATGAGTTTTGTTTGTCTGCTGCTCCTAATTACCTTTATTGCTAATTCCTCACCACCTTCACCTCTAAAACGAATTTGAGTTTTCATTATTTTCATCAGTTCACGGGGCCCTCAGACTGCTGTAATTTTCCAACTTCTTCAGCTTGTAACCTTGCCTGACTGCTTTACTTTTGCCACACAGGCTGACAGATGGAATCTACATAGTGAATCTATACCAGATTTGCCAATAATGGTTTATATTTTGAGCAAAATTCTAAAGAGGATCTATTAAAACCTGATAAGCATACTGTGATGTTAACCAATGGAAAATTGGGATAGAGTAGAGAACACAGTAACCTTGGACCAGGAGACTAGTGGTCTAGTCCTGAGTTTGCCTCTAATTTATAAATAAATCATATCATTTTCCTAGACCTCTCTATCGGGAGCACCTGAGGGGCTTAAAATTACAGGTTACCAGGCCGAACCTCAGATTTATAGAATCAGAATTTCTAGGAGTGGGGTTTAGGAATCTATATCACTTATTTTTAAATTATACACTCAGTGTTAATTCATAATAGTATTAAAAGACTTCTGCTGAAAAACAGTGATCCCCTGCCCCATCCCCAAGAAAATACCTCTCTTTTCTGATATTAACCTTCGTACTTTAAATAATATGCTCATAGTACTGTTTCCTGGTCTGTAGTTATTGTCTACTGACTTCCCATTGTAGGAGGTGGAAATTGAGTTCTTGTAAAGTACCACACATTCTTTTTTGTTGTCTCCTCTGTCACCTCTCTGTGATTACATCATAAGAATTTGATTATATTAACAGTCAATATTGATATCATTATGACAGTGTAAAACATTTCTCACTGCTGAGCCAAGAAGTATATTATTATTATGTTTTTCTTGTATAATCTTCCCCCCCCCAAAATTAAAATTGCCTTTTCTTCTCCACTCAGTTAATATCACTGTAGGGATCTTTAATTTTTCCCTAGCTAGTGCATCGTAGTGTCATATGTAAGTGATATCTCTAAATGGTCAACTACATTTTTAAAATCCACAAATTCTGTTTTTTCCTGGAGGTCTCCCAGGCTCCACCCCAGCTTCGGTTGGACTGTCCCTCTCTGGACCTCCTGTGAGCTGTCATCATGGGTCCTTTTGCTTGCTTACTTCCTGGGTCCTTTTCCTTGTTTTACTTTGTCAGTATGCTGGAGTATATTTTCTAATGTCTTCTTGAAAAAATATGTATAGGAAGTTCATTTTTCAGCCATTACATGTCTTAACATGTTTTTATTGTACCTATAAATTTGATCTTTTAATTGATAGTTTGCCTGGATAGGAATCCTATGCTGAAAGTCATTCTCCCTCTAAATTCAGAGACAATGTAGGAACAGAAAAGTTTTTTTAAATAACTTTAATATTTAATTAATATCCTCACCTTCCAGTGTTGTTGCTGAAAAGTTTAATGTCATCCTGATCTTCAGGCTTTTGTATGTGATCTATTCTTTCTCTCTCCAGAAGCTTTTGGGGTCTTCTTTCTCCATAGTATTCTGAAACTTCTCAGTAAACTGCTTTGGTTCAGGTTGTGCTAGACATACATGCACCCTTCCATTCTCAAAACTTGTGCCTGCCAATTCTGGGACAATTCTTAGGTCATCTCTTTCCCGAGAGTGACCAACTTTTTAGAGAGCCAAATACAGGGTATAAATATATTTTTATATATGGATATATTTTATAAGATAAAATATATAATATAAAGTAGGAGAAATAATTAAACACATGTGTTATTGCTTTAGCACAAAAATTAAAAACATGTTTATTTGAAATTATACTATATTTTTCTGTTACATAAATGCTATTTAAATAAAATAATAGTAGAACTAGTTAACAGTCACAATTAGTAGTAATTAATAGTAAAACTAAATAAGTATGAGAAACTATAACAATATTTTATAATGTTTCTGTCTCTGATATAGCAGTTTATTTTAACTCTTTTTAACTCTTCATTGGATGTTTTTATTTTGTAGGCAATACTATTGTGTATTCCAAGACGTTTTGCAGGGAAAACATAAATACAATAGAAATAATTAAACAGGTATTACCTATACTTAGTGGGAAAAAAAATTCTTTCTGTTTCATGGTAGAATAGGATGTTTTTACTCATTCTTTTTCATTATGCGGTAATATTTTTCTGAACTGCCTGTAGCCTTCTTTTATGTGGTGGTAAAACTGGATACGGTGAAATGTAAAATTTATTTTGACTTGCAGTTCTGCTCTTACCAAGCCCACACAGGTTGGTATCAGTCCAGTGTAATGACGTCAACCTAAATATCCTCTGAGCAAAAGTGTGTAAGCATGTAATACTTAATATTTTACTTATTGGCAACAGTAGGTTTTTATTTTGGGGGCTTTTTGCTTTTTAAGCCTCTGGTTGATATTTATTTTTTCAGTTTCATTGAGATATAATTGACTAATAAAAATCAGATATATTCAATGTGTATAACTTGATGTTTTGATATATATACATATTGCACAGTGATTGCCACAATCAGGTAATTAACATGAGCATCACCTCACATAGTTACCTTTGTGTGTGTGTATGGTGAGACTATTTTAAGATCTTTTCGACTTATAAGAATTAGTTTCTATCTCTCTAGAAATGTTCATCCACTGTATCTACAGGCTTGTTTTGGTAGACCAGCTGTTTGTCACTCAGTTCTCTTGCATCTATAATTTGATCGTATCAGCTATTTATGTCTAAAATGCTCATCATTTTTAAACACTCTGAAGTTCATTAGACATCGTCATAAGTTCAACCTCTCTTTCTCAAGGAAAGTGGTTGTAAAACACAGAAGTGATTTATACTTGTAAAATTAAAGATGGATTCCAAGTAAGTTATAGTTTTAGTAAACAGATGAGAAAGTCCTGTTCAACTTGACTGCCCTTTTCTGGTGACTTTTTTTAAGTTCTGCAGCAGTTTTATTTTTTAAAATGAGTCATTTTTTGGCTGCACAAGTTTTTGTCACACCCTACACATAACACCAGACAACTCAGATGCAGTCAATCCACTCTTCCCTTTCTCCAGACTCCTTCTGGCCTCTTCACAGGTCATCAAACAGTTTTGGAGAAACAGCATGTCCTTTCTGTTTTATTGTCCTTTTCTCCATTCTCATCTTCAGTGTATTTCCAAATTGTAGAAGGACATTCTTTTTTTGTCCCACACTTCGAAAATATGATTTTATGGCACAACAACATTTCGAATCTTTTCAATGGCCAGTGACAAAGATAGTTGTAGGCACAAGTCTAAGGAAGCTACTTCTGTTTCTGTATAGATAAAAATCCTATTAAGTGCTTCTTCAGGTTTTAAGAAAACTGAAGCATGACCAAAAACTTTCTTAATGAAAGGCTCAATGTCACAAGTAATCAGATCATACCTCTTTTTAGAAGTGTTGTTTACAAAGTAAGTAGGACATTTAGTTGGTAAGATCTTTTGATTTTCTTTAATAAGAAGTGGACTTACTGGAACTTGCCAAAATTTACATTTGCACTATTACATATGCAGATGGTTGAGTAATGGCTAGTTTGTATTTAGATAAGATACGAAGAATTTTTTGTTTTTTATTTTCTGTGTTCTATTAAAACTTCATAGACGTCAAGAAGATGTTTTGAAGCTCTGTTTTCCAAATCAAACTATCTAAAAACTAGGGGCAATTTTTTGTTGTTGCTGTGATGTGAAATATCACTTAATAGCAAAAGCATGGTCATTGGTAAGATCTGAAAGAATCAGCTCTACACTGAGAGGTGAGACATCTATTATCAAAATTTCCTTTTTGACTGATACATATGGGTTTTTATGCTTGCATATGGGAAATGGGCCAGGAGCTACAGGATAGCTAGCTGTGGAATTGGTGGGGAATCCAGTTGAAGCGATAGAACGGGTTTTCTGCCCTCTTAAATAAGACGATCCTTAAATATGAGTTTCCTACTAATGCAATAGGGAGTATTAAGTTTGCTTCCTTCTGGAGATACAAGGTAGAATCATGCTTTTGGTTGGAAGGGTATTGGAGGATGGAGATAATTAAGAAATAGATTAAAACTGATCTTTGGTTTAATCTCTTGGGCTGGCTATTTGGCTAAAGAAAATGCTCTTCAGTCTAATATTGGTAGGAGGAGAGGGTGGAGGATAGAATTAACCATACCCTTTTTAATAAGTACACAGACCCTTAGGGCTATTGTAACTGAGTCATCCCTATGTGCCTGGAAGCCACCTGAATACCAAGAAGTCAGTGGTTAATACCATTGCTGTGTCTCATTGGAACTGTTCTGAGGAAGTCCTAACAGTGTGTTGTACATAGAAGGAACTCAGTGAAATTCGTTGAATCAATTGGAATTAAATAGTATTAGTCTCAGGATAAGTGCTTTCCCCTCCAAACTACCCGCCACAGCTGTTGAATTATTTTAATTCCATGCTTTTGCTCAAAATCCTCTGACGTAGTATAGGGAAATGGCCTAAAACCTGCAGTCAGACTTGGAGTTGAGTCCTAAAGTTATCTAAATGTCATTGATCCCCACTTTCCTTATCAATGAAATAGGAATAATTTAAAAACTTTCCCTGTGCTCAGTTTCTGAGAGAGGTCAGGGGAGCACTACAAGAATGCATTTTCACTTGTGTGGTGTGGCCAGACTCAGCAGCCGCTATTTGCAGCTGAGCACTGGTGTCTTTTGAGGAGCTCCATAACTTTTAATTTACACGTACCACTTGTCTCATCTAAGCTTGTGAGATTCAGTCTCTGTATATGCTTTTCACATACTGTTCTCCACCATGCCCAGTCCCAAATTCTTTCCTCCACATGGTACATTATTTATCTTTAGCCCACTCATATGTGTCCTTCTACCTGTCACTGGAATAACACTGTCATCTAGCTCACTTCTTCTGTCTGTCTGGATCATACTGGAGGTGTTCTCCGATAGTTCCCTTTCTATAGCTTTCTTTTCTTGTGCTATGAATGCAATACCTACTATTGTCTCTCTGAGGATATTAATTATACGTTATTCTCCAGCAACCCAGAAGTCTCCTATAGACCCTTTTCTGTCACTAGCGCAGGAGTAACCTCTATCCTGGCTGCCAACTCCATGTATGCATTTTGCCAATTTTTGATCTTTATGTAAATTGGCCCTGTATTCATTAAGGGTTCGGTGTACATCTCAGTTCCTGCACTTTCCCTTTTCACTCCCCCTTATTTACAGCTAGGTTCTTTCCATTCCAAGCGAAGTTAGCTGTGGCTGTCTTCCCCTCCCGAGACAGATAATGCCCGCTAGTCACTAGCCTGTATCCTCTCTGCCTGTTTGCCTTTGTGTGAGATTGTAACCATGAGAAGCATCTAGACTCCCCCTCTTAGCTCGGTGAGTTTGCCTCTCCTGAGGTGGAAATTGGCGTGAGATACCTCAACCCCTCTAGAATATACGAGAGTACTTCAAAAAGTTCGTGGAAAATGGAGTTAAAAGGTAATGTAAATCTTTCATAAACTTTTTGAAGACTCCTGGTGGGGCCGGCCCCATGGCGCACTCAGGAGAGTGCAGCGCTGGGAAGGCAGTGACACTCCCGCCACGGGTTCGGATCCTATATAGGACTGGCCGGTGTGCTCACTGGCGAGCGGTGCGGGCAACACTGCACCAAGGGTTGTGATCCCCTTACTGGTCATGAAAAAGACAAAAAAAAAAAAAAAGACTCCTGGTGTACCTAGACTTTGCTCTGAGCTCCACATTCCATTTATGTATTTTTCCAAATCCTTGGTGGCACAGAGGGGCAGGACACTTGGCTGTTTGCACAGAGGCGCGGCTCGTTACTGGAGGCAATGCTCACATGGCGCAGACATGTGTGGGGCAGCCGATGGCAGAGGGCACAACGTCTTGGAGGACAGCGGCAGGACGGCAGCTGAGTGACAGCCTTCCTCCCTTCTCTCTCACAGAGCTTTACCCTCCGAATGCCAGATGCTCCTCTTTTCAGCAACCTTTGAGGACTCTGTGTGGCGCTTTGCTAGGCAAATCGTTCCTGACCCTAATGTTATCAAGTTACGCAAAGAGGAGCTGACCCTGAGCAACATCCAACAGTATTACATGTTGTGTGAGAACAGGAAGGACAAGTACCAAGCTCTGTGCAACGTTTATGGTGGCATCACCATCGGTCAGGCCATTATCTTCTGCCAGGTAACCTAGATTTGTCTTCCTCTTGCCCAGGTTTCCCTACAGGTGGAGGTAGAGGGATGATATTAATAAGCCATATAGCCAGGCACCATGTTCAGTATTTTTTGTACGTTATTTAGTTTAATATTCAGAGCTACCGTGAATGGAAATATCTGTGTTTTATGGGAAAACTTAGAAGGTGAAGTAATGGAATAGTATCTTCAATATGATGTTGAACAGAGGGCCGCCTTACTTTAGAGGGACTGCTTCCAGCACTTCCTATTTAGATTAATGTTTATTGTAGTATTTACTGATACCCTGTATCAGGTTAAAGATGTTACTCATATTAATGTCACCTTATTTTTATTTTCTTATATTTCTTTTATTTTCTTGGTTTTTGTTGTCTGGCATTTTTCATATTCCTGTATTGTTTTGGTGTCTCACCACCCTGTGAGCACTCCAAGCTTCATGCAGGCAGGCACCATCTGTCTTCTGTGCCACTGCACTAGCTGGCGCCTGCCTGCGTATGGGCAGCACTGAGAACATATCTGTAGAATAGAAGTAAGCTCAGCTCTGCCACAGGCTAGCCATGTAACCTTGGGCAAGTTACTTAGCATTTTTAAGCTTTGGGGGTTCTTTTGTCCATTTTTAAATTTTTTAAATGAAAGGAGACAGCTATTTTGTTTAATGGTTGTGAAAGCACATGACTGTAATGCATGTAAAGATTTAGCCCCTGCCTGGCACGTATGAAGCACTCTTGTGTCTGTCGAGTGTCTGTTGTTATCATTTTTACATTACATCATTTTGTCTTTATAGCACCAGGTAAGGTAGGTGGAGTATGTTTATCTCCATTTCATGGGTGAGAAAGCCAAAGCTCTGAGTGATTGAGAGGATGTGACTCTTAGAAGCACAGGCAGAGGGAGAAGTCCATGCCGCACTCTAAGGTTCCTAAAGGACTGAGGCAGAGGTGAAGCAAAACTCCTCTGCAGCCCTCTCCCTCCCGCCCTGCATAGCCTGCAAGAGCAGCCAGTCTTCTTTAACTTGGGGTGCTGTGGTGGGGTTTGCTTTCTCACATAGACTCGTCGAAACGCCAAGTGGCTGACCCTGGAGATGATGCAGGATGGCCACCAGGTGTCTTTGTTAAGCGGGGAGCTGACCGTGGAGCAGCGAGCTTCCATCATTCAGAGGTTTCGTGACGGGAAAGAGAAGGTTCTTATAACAACCAATGTTTGTGCTCGAGGTGTGTGTTTAAAGTCAAGTGTTGAAGTATAATTTAAATATGATACAATTCATGCTCATTTAGTGTACAGTTTGGTGCATTTTGACAAACTTACACAGTCATGTAACCATTGCCATAATCAAAACGCAGAACATTTCCATCTCTCCAGAATTTCTCATGTTCCTTTGCATTCAGTCTCTTCCTCCCATCACACGGCCCCTAGCAACTACTGATCAGATTTCTGTCTCTACATTTTTGTCTCTCCCAGAATGCCACATAAGTTACATTAGACAGCGTGTAGCCTTTGTGTCTGACTTCTCCCTCCTAACATAACGCTTCTGGGTTTCAGCAGCATTGTTACATGTATTCACAGTTTGTTCCTTTTTATTGCTAGTAGTATTCCATTGATGGTTCTTCTGTTCACCAGTTAATAGACATTTAGATAGTTTCCAGTTTGGGGTTATTTTGAATAAAGCTTTAATTAAAATCCATGTGTAGGTCTTTGTGTAGACATGTGTTTTCATTTCTCTTGGGTAAATACTTAGCAGTGGGATTGCTGGGTTGTGTGATAAGCGTATGTTTAGCTTTATAAGAAACTGCAAAACTCTTTTCCACTCTGGCTGTACTGTTTTGCATTTTCACCAGTAATGTAGGAAAGTTCCAGTTGTGCTGCATCCTTGCCAGGAATTGGTATTGTCACTCTTTCTAATGTTAACCGTTCTGGTAGGTATGTAGTGGTCTTAGTTTGGATCTCCCTAATAACTAATGATGTTCAGCATCTCTGGGGTATTTTTAATTTTAAGACTATTGACTATTCAGGGGAAAGTTTCTATTTTCAAGAAAAGGGCCTTGCTACTTTCTTCTTTCCCCCTGTTTCCTTGCTAGACTCCACCGAGTTTCCCACTTCATTCTTAATTCAGGAGATAGAACTGGGAGCCTGCTGTGTTAGTAGTGAGTGCTGAGCTCTGCACATTGGAAGGGCAGCCTGAAGAGGATGAGGCCCCTGCCCCTCCACTGCCTAGACTCTTGCCTCTCTACACTGGTGCTGTCCAATAGAACTTTCTGCAGCAATGGAAGTGTTATATTCTGTGCTATCCAGGTGGTAACCACTAGCCATATATGGCTCTCAAGCACTGGAAATGTGGCTAGTGTGACTGAGAAACTGAATTTTTAATTTTAATTTCAATTTAGCTAGATGAGGCTAATAGTTACCATATTGGACAGCACAGTTCTAGACCCCAGAGGAAAGAGGGCATAGAAAATTGTAGAGTTGAAGCACAGTGCAAGGAGGACAAGGATCGTGACCCAGATGGCTCATTAGTGTGAGGTGCGGAGGCCAAAGGCACGGAGGGGTCACAGAAGTCTTCCTGGGCAACATTAGATTTGAGGGGTTTTGAAGGAAGGGTAGCAATTCAGTTGGATGAGAAGTTACAGTTTGTTTGGGAAATCGCCAGACCTTGTGACTGTGAGTCAGGAGAAGAGATGAGCTGTTAGGTGGTTCGAGTTCCTGAATTGCCTGCACGTCATCCTACGCAATTTGGGCAGTGGTTCTGAGCACAGTGCCCTGGGCATTGCTGTGGTGACCATCATAAGGGAGATTAGAGGAGTGAGAGAAGATAGAGGGGAAACCAGTATGGAGGTTGTTGTAACAATTGAGGCAAGGGATATTGTTCTAGACCTGGCTGGAATAATAGCCATGGAATGAAGCAGAGCTGGGACCCATGACAGGTGAGGGGACATGAGGCTAAGGGGCCTGCTGAAGACTTAGCACAGCAGGGGCAGAGAGGAGAGTGTGCTCTGTGGGCTTGGTGAGGTGCCTCTCCACCGTGCACATGCGTACAGTTTGTATGTGTGTAGACTTCTGTAGAGTTAGCCTCTATTAACACTATTATCCAGCACCCTAGGCACCACAGCATGCAAGTGAACTGTCTGACCAAAGTACCTATTCCAGTCATGTAAAGCCAGGTTTGATTTATAAATTGTCTCTACTAATGATAATTCCCTAGGCAAATGTGGTTCTTGAATGACTATGTCCTTAGGAAAACGTTGCAGGAGCCCATGATGTTTTTCCTCTTCTAGGGATTGATGTGAAGCAGGTCACCATTGTTGTGAACTTTGATCTCCCTATAAAACAAACGCAGGAGCCAGACTATGAGACCTACCTCCACCGCATAGGACGGACAGGACGCTTCGGGAAAAAAGGCCTTGCCTTCAACATGATTGAAGTGGATAAGCTACCCCTGCTTAAGAAAATCCAGGACCACTTTAGTAAGTAGCGCCATTGCTTCATCACAGTGTGAACCACAGACTTGCTAACAGTACTGACAGAGACGATGCGTGCCAGGGAGCTCGAGTCCAGGGGCTCGTGAGAGTGTAGAGGCAGAAGCCATGGGGTGGAAGGCTCCTAATTCACAGGACCAGAGTCCTAATATGACACAGTTGATTAAATAATTCTTATGTGATAGTTAAAGAAAAATTTAAAAATCAAGTAGAACTAACATGAGCTCAGATTTATATGTTACAGCTCATTCTGGAATCTGGAGCACATTTTCACATCCTATAAAGAAAGTACCCTAGCAAAGTAATAAAATCCTTTAAGATTATGTTCCATCCCCAACTTCCTCTTCTATCTACACTATTCCCCTCCCCTTGCCCCACCCTTCCTAATAGGTTGATCCTAAATTCTAAGGTTTTTAGTCCTTTTTCCTGCCCCATGTCTAAGGAAGGTGGACCCTGATAGCCTGCTGGGCTCTGGACTGATAGATTGTACTCTGGTGGAAAAGTGAAGGGTCACATAAACTGGGATGCCCACTCCTCAAATTAGCCCATGCCCCAAAGCCCAGGGATGTGGCTGGGGAGCCGGGGAAGAGGAATACGTTCACCTGCTAGGATGGTGGTACTTCCCTTTCTTGGGGGCAGTGGGCACTCCTGTGTTAGACTAACTGGGGAGGGGTGGGGAGAAAGAACCATGAAGGCCACTGTTGCTGTGGTGAGTGCCAAAGGACCTGGTTTGGAAGTGACCACAGTAGAGGAGCTTAGTCCTTCCCAGGCTCTCCTCAGTTGCAATTAGGCCTTTTTCTGCCCCGAGGTATCTAGATAGGCATAGCCTATAGTCTGGTGCTTTTGATGCTGGTTTCATTAGTGTAGGTGAGTGCTTTTGGTACATCCCTTCCTTATGTTCCTATCTCAAGGCTTTCTATACAAGGTGTCACTGTTTTCAGAAATTCAAAGTCAGATGGAATGAGGCTCCACTTAGGCCCTGGGCTAAGACTGGTTCCGTTCTCTTCTGTTCCTTCAGACAGCAATATTAAGCAACTCGACCCCAAAGACTTGGATGAAATTGAAAAGATTGAATATTGAAGAAAGAATTTTATTGTTTCTAAAATATCCTAGTTTATGTGAGAACGTTCCAGTGGAGTTTGAAGGTAATTTTTCAACATGAAACTGTCACAGGTGACAAAATAAGTGTTGTGCTATCCTTATTTTTAAGACTTAAGGTCTTTTTGAAACCAAATTGATGTGAAGGACATGATCTTTTTGAATAAAAAATCAAGATTATTTCTTATTCTAATCTTTTTACAAGTGAAGATCTCTGTATGGGCTATTGGGATGTTTTTGGATTATTTCTATAATCTGAGATCTTACAGAGCCACAAGATGGCAGTAGAACTTCACTGGTGTTGCAGCTTAAAGCACAAAACGAGTGAGAAAGCCGCGCTTGTTCAGGCCTCACTTTTAGGCCGCCCTCGCCAGCCACTAATCTTTCTTCCCACACCCTCCTCCCCCTCCCCTGTGAGTGCACACACTTCGTCCTTAATGGAGTAAAATCTTTAAAAAGTAAAACCATTTGGAAGAGTGAGTATTTTGCTTTTTTAACGTTTCAAGTGACATACAGAATTTCAGAACATTTTTCTGTTTTGCTTCTTACTGTCTTCAAATTGGAGATTTACTTCATCATCAGTTATTTCATAGTTTCTGAAAATGTGCTTTATTATCAGCATTTCTTAAACTCAGGCAGTGGGGGTAAAAAATCCACTTATCCTATTAAAGAAGTAACATTTCAAGGAGCCAAAAGGTTTTGCTTTTAAAAACTTAAAGGTATATGTGAGGATCCTGGATGTTTTCTTGCAAATCCCAATTAGATGCTTTTTATTGATTCTCATGTTTGCTGCTCAGAAGTGAAGCAGTGAGCTTGAGGAAACAGGGTAAATGGATACTCTCCTAGGAACCTGGATCAGCCAGGGCCCAGGCACCAGCTCTGTTGCAGCACCAGACAACCAGTGGCTTCCATGGATGCTCCCATCAACCTATGTGGACAGTAGTTTCTGGTATATATATTTTGATATTCTACTTGCATATCACCCTGCCAATGTTTTATCCCTGAAAGCAGGGCTCGGAAGTACAGGAAGTCCATCAAGTGCCCTCATTCAACATCAGGTTATTTATTGTGCACCTTTTATGCTAAACACCAGGGAAAGGGAGATGAATAAGATATAACAGTCATTTCAGAATTCAGAATCTATGGGAGAGACCCAGAATAAGCCAGAATCATAAGACTGTGCTAGATGAGGGGCATACAGGTCACTGGTATAGCACAGAAGGGGGACCCCTAATACCATCTGGGCCTGCTTCCTGAGGAGAAGATAATCAGGATCTCCTGCAAGGGAGCAGGCTATATTCAGCATTCCCTTCTCAGTATATATTTAGTACCACCTAGCAATTTTCTAACCCTGGTCCACTGAGGCAGTGTTCCAGACTACCTGGAGAACCTGGAGAAAATACAGATTTGATCCCCCATACAGACAAAACTAGACTTTCTGTAGAGTCCAAAACTACACAAGGGAGCTGAAAGCGTAGATAAAGCAATAGATAATAAAAACCACTGTCTTAGGGAGGAGACAGTGAGGCAAAGAGAGATCCTCAGACAGAATTTATAAAAAGGGGACCTCCCATTTGTGAATGTTTACTCCAGTTCTTATACTCTGCCTTTCTCTCTGCACTGGAAACTGGTGACCAGTCTTGTTGTCCATTCAATACTCAGCCCCTAACACAGTGCCCAAGCACAGAATAGGTGCCCAGTGAATATTTGTTCTTGGTGAGTAAATATTTCTTTCTTTTGCCATTTCCTCATTCACTAACATTTTTCCTTAATGTTTTCCATCCTCATTATGAACCTCAGTTATGTGACACAGGATAAATAAGCAGGGCAAGGGCATCAGGTATTTTGCTCTCGCTTACTATTTGAGAACTGAGTTGGACTTCCTACAATACTCAGCTCAGCCTTGCCTTGGGCTGTCCTAAAGGAAAGTTCACCACCTCCCCTTCCAGTTCAGATCCTGATAAAATCTCTACCAGTCACCCTCACGAGAGTCTTCGGCAGTTTTCAATTCGTAGCTGTTCCCACGGGTCTGCAAACACTGGGCATTCTTCTGCCCCTCCCTTGCCCTCTCTTCACAGCCCTTTGTCTGGCCACCTGGGAGGCAGCAGAGCCATCCTGTCTTCTGCATGCACCACAGCTGTATTAACATGAACTGTCCAGGGTGGTGAGTCAACAGTCCAAAGACTGTTTGCAGGGTGCAGCTCCTTGCTCAAAACTGTAAGCAATTTTCACATCTCCATGCATGGCCTGGCCAGAGTCATCTCTCTAGATGCCTGCCTGAGGAAGAAGTAAATGGAAAGGCGAGGAATAACCAGATGAAATCAGTGCATCTGTGAGCTGGTTAATCAGCTGTGTATTACTTGGCACCAAATACTAAACCAAATCCATTAGGTTTATCTTGGCCAGCTTAATGCCATTAGCGTATTGAAATTCATGATTACGTAGAGCAGGGCTGTGATTTCCAGTGGGAGTTGTGAGTGAATACATCGCCTGGGGTACAGCTGCTGTGAAGTTAGGTGCTGAATCTAAGGCAACTATTAATAACAGGAAAGGCAAACGAGTTGGTAATAGTCTGGTAGGATGTCTGACAGCTCCTCTCCAGAGACATTATTGCTTTTAGTCATGAGAAAGTGTTGATGCTCCTCAGCAAAGCTCAGTCACCACAAAAGCCACTGGCAGTCTCTGCATGTGTGATCAACAGTGGAAAATCTTAGAGGATTGCTGGGGGTGGGGGCAGGGTAGTGAGCAGCACCTTTGCAGAAACCAGAGAGAGAGAGGCTGGTTTTGTCAAGCCTTGATTTGGCTCTTGGTCCTCTGAGAGGCTCAGTCTCTTTCCCTTTGATTCAAGTAGGAGCCTAGATCAGAAAGAGGACCCAAGCAGAGGCAACCCAACTGCTGGGATGGAAGCTGAGTGTGCGTTCAGACCAGGGACCTCTCCAACTGGGCCTGCAGTTTTTTGCCCTCTGAGCCTGTGGGTCTTGTTCTGTTCTCCGCCACTGTTGTACAGAGATGCCCTGCATGCTGATCCTCACGGGAGGGCCTGCAGGAGCCCAGCAATTGGGCACATACTAGTTTTACCAAGGGAGTAACAGAAGGTCAGATCCTCTTAAATCCTAACCTCCCTCCAACCCTCCACCTCTTCCAGGAAATAATCGTGTATATGGGAAACTCTCATATCATTTTAACCCACAAAGTATGAATTGTCACAGTCTTGCTATATGCTGTGGGGAATACCAATGATTTATTCTGGAAAGAATCCAAAAGGCGGTTGCCCCAATATTTTCTATCCTTTTTTTAATCGATGGCAGAGAGAAGAGGTAGACGCTTCCCCTTCTCTCTTCCCCAGGCTGCTATTCTCATCTTCTGGACTCTGCCTTCTCACTTGCATCCTCCTGTGCTCAGCTGGGTCCCTCAGGAGGGATGGGTCAGCCATGCTCTGGCCTCATCACCCCACCTTCCCACCCCTCACTGTGCTACTGGTGTCTGCTCAGAGATGCTGTTGGAGCCGTTGTCTCAAGACACTTTTCTCTTCCTCAGATTTGTATTGCTTTGCAAACTATCATTTTAAAATGTGGGTGTGATTGAAGAACCATTGTCCATTTTTAAGGTCGATTTTCCAACCCCCTTCAAACATTAAACTTTTAGACTCATCTAGTGAAATACAGGAAACACACCTGAAGTGAGCTGATTCTTGGTTAAGAGAAGTGAACAGTGTGTCCTGCAAACCCCCAGAGGGTCCCACTGGCCCATGTCTGGAACTGCCTCGGCCTTCTTCACCAGATTATCAGGCTTCCACTTCATCTGCTGAGGTTAGAAACAACCAGACGCTCTGATGTAATAAGAAAGATGAGCTGTGAAGAACTGAAGGAATTTTTTAAATAAGAAAATATAGGCTTTAGAGAAGCATATCAACTATCTGTAGCACTTTTCTTTGGGAACTCATCTTTGCCCATAATTGTTTTTCTAATCAGTATAATACAGAAACCGTGGGTTTCTAACTATGGAACTATAAGTTTCTAGTTTCTAGAATATATTTTTTATGAGTGGGGATGGTCTCCTCTTTTGAGCTAAATATTTTTCTTTGCCTAGAAAGAGTGATATGACCTCATTCGAGTCCTTTAGTTTGTGATCCATGGCTTGAAATCCCAGTTGGAAGGAAGTGACTGACTAGGAATCCCTGCTTTGTGTGAAGTTCAAAGGCATGGTCATGTATAACAGTCTTGGCGTGATTTAGAAGGCACAGATTGAACAGGCTTCTCTGTGAGGTGGTGAGCTCCCCGCTCATGGGAGTATTCAAGCAGTCAGAAGGCAAACAGTTACTTGTAATGGATGCTGTAGTTCTGGTTCTTGAATTACCTGGCAGTTTGGAATAAAATGGCCTCTGAGACTCTGCTCATTCTAAGATACCATGTCTCCATGACCCTCCACAGAATAGCTATGCACATGGAAGAACGTGAGCCATGGCTACGCCACATAAACGCTCAACAAATATAGTTACATGCATATTCACCAGATAGGACAATCTGGTCAATTATTACTTGCACAGAAGATGATTGTTTCCCACAAATAAAAAGAAAATGGGATGATTAACTTCTAATTGCAGCCTGTCTTTCAGATTCACCAGCTTCTTCTCCTGTGACCATCTTTTTATACCAAACTTCATCAATCTAGGCAGAGTATGGATTATTTTTAATTTAGTATTTATATTATAAAAGCATTAAAACAGCAAACAAGAGTAGTAGTGGAAAAATTATCAAAAATCTCATGTAATATATATAACAATGTATTGATATGGTCCTTTTCATCTTAATATGAATATGTGTTGTCATAACCTTTTATTTGAAACATTCAAGTGGTTTTTGTTTTTTTTATGTTGCCACATAGTTTGGGGGATAAGTATTTTAAAATAATAATTGACCAGATTATCCTATCTGGTGAATATGCATGTGACTATCTTTGTTGAACATTTATGTGGTGTCTAGTTTTCCAGGATTGTAATTATAAATAATGCTACAGTGAATATCTTCTTGCCCGATGTTTTAAATTATTTCTTAGGATTAGAGACGTTAAGTTTGAGTCTCAGGTCACAAAATAGTAGTATTTTTATGGCTTTTGATAGATAGTGTCAAATTGCTTCCAAGAGGCTGTGGCTGTACCAATATAGGTTGCCCCACTGATTTTACCTTCTTTTAC